CCTCCGTAGAGCTTGGCGAAGCCCTGACGGAGTACTGCAGCTCCACCACCACCACGCCGTCGTGCTGCTACTGGAGCCATCTTCCTCAACCTCTCCTTCCCCTTGCTGGATCAAGAAGGAGGAGACGTCACGTTGACCGTACGTGTGTTAAACACGGAGGTGCCGTCCGTTCGGCGCTAGGATCTCCGGTGATTTGGATCACGTCGAGTACGCCTTCCTAATCCCCGTTCTTTGAACGCTTCCGCGCGTGATCTACAAAGGTATGTAGATGCAATCCGATCACTCGTTGCTAGATGAACTCCTAGATGGATCTTGGTGAAACCGTAGGAAAATTTTTTGTTTTCTGCAACGTTCCCCAACACACGCAAGATCCATCTAGGTGATGCATAGAAACGAGAGGGGAAGAGTGTTGTCTACGTACCCTCGTAGACCGTAAGCAGAAGCGTTATGACAACGCGGTTGATGTAGTCGTACGTCTTCACGATCTGACCGATCCTAGCACCAAAGGTACGGCACCTCCGCGATCTGCACACGTTCAGCTCAGTGACATCCCGCGAACTCTAGATCCAGCTGAGTGTCGAGGGAGATTTTCATTAGCACGACGGCGTGATGACGGTGATGATGAAGCTACCGGCGCGGGGCTTCGCCTAAGCACTGCAACGATATGACCGAGGTGGATTATGGTGGAGGGGGGCACCGCACACGGCTAAATAATGTCAACTTGTGTGTCTATGAGGTGCCCCCCTCCCCCGTATATAAAGGAGTGGAAGAGGAGGGAGGGCCGGCCCTCTATGGCGCGCCCTGGAGGAGTCCTACTCCCACCGGGAGTAGGATTCCCCCCCCCCTTCCCTAGTTGGACTAGGAGAGAAGGAAGGGGGAGAGAGGAAGGAAGGAAAGGGGGGCGCCCCCCCCCCTCCTAGTCCAATTCGGACCAGAAGGGAGGGAGCGCGCGGCCTTCCCTGGCTGCCTCTCTCTCTCTTCACTAAAGCCCATTAGGGCCCATATACTCCCCGGAGGGTTTCGGTAACCCCTCGGTACTCCGGTATATGCCCGAACTCACTCGGAACCATTCTGATGTCCAAACATAGGCTTCCAATATATCAATCTTTATGTCTCGACCATTTCGAGACTCCTCGTCATGCTCGTGATCACATCCAGGACTCCGAACAACCTTCGGTTCATCAAAACACATAAACTCATAATACCGATCGTCACCGAACGTTAAGCGTGCGGACCCTACGGGTTCGAGAACTATGTAGACATGACCGAGACTCATCTCCGGTCAATAACCAATAGCGGAACCTGGATGCTCATATTGGTTCCTACATATTCTACGGAGATCTTCATCGGTCAAACCGCACAACAACATACGTTGTTCCCTTTGTCATCGGTATGTTACTTGCCCGAGATTCGATCATCGGTATCGTCAAACCTAGTTCAATCTCGTTATCGGCAAGTCTCTTTACTCGTTCCGTAATGCATCATCCCGCAACTAACTCATTAGTCACATTGCTTGCAAAGCTTATAGTGATGAGCATTACCGAGAGGGCCCAGAGATACCTCTCCGATACTCGGAGTGATAAATCCTAATCTCGATCTATGCCAACTCAACAAACACCATCGGAGACACCTGTAGAGCATCTTTATAATCACCCAGTTACGTTGTGACGTTTGATAGAACACTAAGTGTTCCTCCGTTATTCAGAAGTTGCATGATCTCATAGTCATAGGAACATGTATAAGTTATGGAGAAAGCAATAGCAACAAACTAAACGATCATCGTGCTAAGCTAACGGATGGGTCAAGTCAATCACATCATTCTCTAATGATGTGATCCCGTTAATCAAATGACAACTCATGTCTATGGTCAGGAAACATAACCATCATTGATTCAACGAGCTAGTCAAGTAGAGGCGTACTAGTGACACTCTGTTTGTCTATGTATTCACACATGTACTAAGTTTCCAGTTAATGCAATTTTAGCATGAATAATAAACATTTATCATTATATAAGGAAATATAAATAACAACTTTATTATTGCCTCTAGGGCATATTTCCTTCAAAGGCCTGTCAGGGGCGCCACAAGCTCGGGGGGCGCCCAGGGGGTAGGGCGCATCCTGTTGTTTCCTCCGCCAATATTATATATATATATATATATATATATATATATATATATATATATATATATATTCCAAAACAGTTCTCCGTAAATTTTCATGTCATTTGGAGTTGTGCAGAATAGCTATCTCTGATGTAGCCCTTTCTAGTCCAAAATACCAGCTGCCGGCAATCTCCCTCTTCAGGTGAAACTTGCAAAAAAAAGAGAAAATGCATAATAATTGCATCACGAGGTGAAATAAAAATTCCAAAACATAATGAATAACAGTAGGAAAACATGATGCAAAACGGACGTATCAGTCGTCATCCAACGCTAGCCGCATACATTTCGAACTCTTTTTCAATAAACCGGATGAAATTCATGCAAACTCGGCTGGATTTCATATAAACAAGACGGATTTCATACAAACCAGATGAAAACGGTTACATTTTGGATCTATATTCAACTAAAAAGGTAAAATTATGTGCACGTACAGTCGCACGGAGCTCCACCCCCATGACAAGGATACACTACACTAGTCTCGGCGGGCCACGACGGATCGCTATGTCTTCTCTATGTCTGGCAGCCCGCTAACCGGACTGCCAGGAGTCCTGGAGGCATATTCTTCTCTTGTATCTTCCCTATGTCCGGCTACACCGCTCATCGGAGAGGTAAAGAGGGTGCTTCAGTGGAGCCCAAACGGGTGTGCCCAGAATGGTCTGAGATAAAGATCGGACAGATCGTCGGCTGTACAAGCCGGGGACGCGCCGACGTCGGCCTCCATGGGATACAAGTAGCGGCGGCCTCCCATGGGATACGAAAAAAGTAAATACTCCCAAGTTGCGACAAATGACGTGCATACAGCGCGTCACTTGTCACAACCTGAGAGGTGGAAGGGGTACCTCTCAATTAGTGATTACATACTATGACTCCATTGGACTAAGTTCCGGGCCGCTGATTTGTTATCCATCCCATGATCTGCCGACCTCTTCTTTTTATTTTGTGAAATCACTATATATACTAAGCTTCCAGGAAATGAGAGTAAGTGGTGCATCGTAAGGTTGGATGTTTGTTGTGAGCCCGGTTGTGATATTGTGCCTCGTTTTTTAACATAGTATAATCAAAGCCGCTCACGTAAACGAGCATACACTCATCCTTGTGAGCGCTCACCCTATCCCTATGGACACATTTGAGAGATTGAGCCAGCATAAATTTTTAGATTTTACGAAGTTACCACAGGCGCCTTGCAATCGATGGGAACGTCTCCTCCCACTGAACGAACATCGATAGAAGTCTGAAATAAATTCAGAAATAATGCGAACATCAATGTCAAGCCTAGGACTTGAACCTTGGTAGGCTGGGGGTATCACCGTCCTCCTAACCATTCAACGACATGTTGGTTCGCGATGTTGTGCCTTGTTGGTCAAACATATATCTATCTGCTCACATGAGTCATGGCGGGCATGAGGCCCCGGGTTCCTCCAGATGAGTCCCGCCATAATTTCACGCCATCCCTCGAAATATGTGCTAAAACAAATAGGCCGCTATCCTTTGATGGGGAGTCCAGTGATCAGTGGAACATCCTGCAAAGTAATCGTCATCTCTCCAGCAAATAAGTGGAAAGTATGTGTCTCGGGCCGTTATCGATCAATGAGTGTCATGATTGCACAAGGGTTCATCTTCGACATCGAATGAGACACGAGTGAGATAAATGGGAGAAGCCCCGTCTTTCAGATATACTTCGTGTATCGCTGTCATATTGCATCTTGTCATGAACCGCATTGGACCTGCGGTGAAGCTGATCAAAACCATTCTTTCATCTGCCATGTACCGTCCACGATGCAATAGATCGCACGATGGATGGATAAGAGAAACCATCCTACAAAATTACAATGTATGTCGTAGGCCTCCTTGTCATTTGTAAACATCCGGAGTAGTGCAAATACAAACATAATACATGTGCAAATATCCATATCCACACAACAAATGGATACATACAAGTGCAAATAAGTACCTAGGCCAACTCATCCATACAAGTGAACATGCATATACACATTTACAAACAACCCTAGTATTCTCATGTTCAAAATTGCTACAAATAATAGCTCATACATAATAGTAAAAAATCCAACTATAAGTACCAAATCCTAATCACACCATACAAATCCCTACCCATACATTTCTAAGACAGGCGCCAATATCAACAAATTTTGAAAAAAAGGGATGAACTAGGGTTTCTACACATGGGCTCAATGCAAAAAAAAAACCAATAAAAAGAAAGGAAAGTTGGGGGAATACCTTAAGGATTGGGAGGGAAGAAGATCCACCAGTTTTCCCCTCGATCCATACTTCTTCACCATGAATTTGGAGGGAGGAGAAGGGCGACGAGCAGGGTGAGAGAAGACATGAATATAGAATGAGCCCTCTGGCTCGGGTATGCAGCGAATCACGCTGACTCTGTTTTTTTTTTTGTGAAGGGACATGGCTCCCCGGCCTAGGGTGTCATGTCTATTGGCATAGGCGCATAGCGCCCCTGCCTAGGGCGTCATGCGCCAACATATGGGCCCAACAATCGTCGATGTCGGCGTGGTAGATCAGCGCCTTGAATGGCGCACTTGACCAGGGTGTTATGATGACTAGCATGACACCCCGGGCCCGGCGGCGTGTAGAAAGGATCATTTTGTGAAATATTTTTAAAATGAGTTCATTTTGTGCTGAACTTTGAGGGTCGTCGTTTTTCACGATCGCGCCTTGTGATGCACGGCAACAGCACTGCTCCACCGTTTGATTTAAGTGTTGGCTGCATGTCCTGTGCGTACTGTGGTCTGCGGGGTGGATTTTCTCAAGAAGCAAAAGCAGTTGGAGTAGTCCACACTACAGCTCAACCCGTTGGAGTAGGGGATGGAACGCTTCCGGTTCAGGGCACCTCCCCTCTCGCTCAAGCTAGCCTTCGCCGCCGTCTCCCTCGGCGTCTCCTTCGCCGCCGTCTCCTCCTCACCCTCTCCCCTCCCTTCCTCGGCCGCCTCCTCCTCTCCGCGGACCGTAGCCGCCGACCTCCTCGCCGTCCTCGCCGGCCCGCGCGCCGCGGCGCGGGTGCCGGCCCGGGAGGCCTCGCGCCTGAGCTCCTGCCTCCGGTTCCTCTCCCCGGCCAACCCCGCCGCCGTGTCTAGCGCGTATCCCCGGAGGGGCTCCCGGAAGGTTCTCCTGGAAGGCTGCGATGCGGCCGAGGCGGACGCGATGGTGATGTGGCCGCCGGCGCCGGTCTTGGAGCTGGCGCTCCTCGCCGTCGACTCCGGAGGCGACCCTGGGGCCATCCACCGCTTGCTCGACCCCACCATGCTGCCGGTGAGTGCTCATTTTCCTCAATTGCTCCCCAGAGGCGTGGAATTTTGCACCGTTTAGGGTCTCGGAAGGTTTGGGGGCGATGGAATTTGAGATCCTGAGGGGCACGAGAGCAGGCATTGGTTAGAAGGGAAATGGTTCATTCGTCTGGTGATAATTCATTTTGATTTTGCATGATCATTGATCAAAATGTGGGATACTGTTATGAAGTGAGTTTCTAGTGGAGAATTCAGTTTGGTTTAGATGATCTGGATAAGGATGTTGTTTTATGTCATGTACATACTTCGGATAGGCACTACATATTGCATATTGGATTTCGAGATGTGTTTTTGTTTTACTTTATAAGGTTTGTGAGTGATTGATTGTGGGAAAAAACTAGCTTCTGTGGAGTAAACTGGTACACTAATGGAGAGTCACAAGTTTATCTACCAATGCCCGCAGTATGTTCTTTCTTTTCCTAACAAAATCTACCACGGTATCCTCGTTAGGTGCCTGATATTGAGGGAACGAAGAAGAGCAAATGCCACCTCACAAGAACACCGTATGGAAGACGCTTTGCTGATGAGGTCCGTGTTTGGCTCAACTTTTAGCCGGCGTTCCTTTTACTTGTATGTCCGGCATTGTTTACATGTTTGTGTTATGATCAGGACATCAATTCATACTTTGCATTTCTGTTTGAATTGATTGCTGCGCGAGGACCATCAGTTGGATTAAATGTTTCACTGACTCGTTATGATTTATTCCACGGGCATCTTTTCCTGGCATCTGGTACAGGAAGGCTTGGGATTCTGTAAGTTCTACCCAAATTTCTTATGGTTAAGATTATAGGATTGTGAAAAGAATATTTCTGTTAACGGATGGTCTTTAAAATACCACTAGAAACATTATGTATATATGAATGTTGCATTTACACCTTTAGATTGGTACGTATAAGTAAGAGCGTGTTTTCTTTCTGTTAACAGATGGTCTTTAAAATACCACTAGAAATATCATGTACTCCTTTAGATTGGTAAGTATAAGTAACAGTTTGTTAATTGCTAGGTATTGTCATGTTGATTATTTTCTGAAACAGGTTCCACGCCAAAGAATATCCAGCATTCGACAAGAAATTGTTCCCTTACAATTTGGGATATTGCCAGGCTGGTATGATTTAGTCAGATGCATATGAACTCTAAATCAAAAATTTCCTTGCACTGTGTGTTTGCATTTGATTAAAAAATTCACTATCTTGACAGAATCTGATGTACCCTATGATGATTCCATGAATTTACGTAATATCCTTTGGTTAGCTCCATTGCCATCCAGTGATAATAAAGTTTGGTTAGCACCAGGTATGCTGATACAGGCTACTGAGTACTCGAAGTTGTCCATGTTTCCGCCTTGTTCCTGTTTAAGAGATCGCAGAACTTCTTCCTGTTTTGCACATACGAACTGACATTTCGTGGACAATTTTGCAATCATACAGGGGTGCTAGTCGTCTTGGATGCACATCCAGATGGAATTATTTATCAAGATATGATACGTGACTATGTTCAGATCGTACGAACAATATACGAAGGTATGCTTTGTCAATGTACCTGCTGCTGTGACATGAACGCTTACTAAAAGGTCAAAAACCTAACTGTTAGTTCTCTGAATGGTCCTGCAGATGATTTCGGAGAGCTTGCGGTCGATGTCAACTATCTGAATGCAGCCAACACAGCTCCAGCGGATAGGATTTTCATTTGCTGACGTCCATCCATAGGATCATTGCCTTCACCGTGTGATTTCATCTCTGGGAAGGGAACACCAAATGTACCATTTTTTACAAGATGCACTCACTCGAGATCCAGGAAAGCATCAGTGATTTGGTGGCAAGTATCCTGTATAGTTCAGGTGTTCATCTCCAAGACGGCTTCAGATGCTTATTTGATTGAATGTACAGATGTAGCACTCGAGGAAGCAGTTAATCTATCGCACGCATGACATGTTTGTTTGATGGAGTTCATCAGAAATTCATTTGGTTGTGGCATTCGGGGGAACCAGTGTTTATATATTGTGAAAAGAATCAAGGTTGTACCTAGTTGTGCCTGTATCAACAAGTAACGTAGGTTGTATCTCGAGTGAACAAGGCACTTGAATTGCGTTCGTACTCGTTTCAGAACAACAAAAGCTATGGGTCCTCTTACGACTATGCTGCTGCATCACCAATTTGCAGTGATAAATTATTAGTAGCATGTTGCATTATTCAAGTATAGTCAGAAACAAGATGATCCAAAAGATATGCGGAGGATCTTTTATTCAAGGATTTGATTGTTTTTATAGTTGAAATTGTAAAGCAGGTTACGTCAAGGATTTGATTGTTTTTATAGTTCAAATTGTAAAGCAGGTTACGTCAAGGGGGAAGCACTGTCACCCCCTGGTACTACATTGTAGAGTGGGTGATCCCAAGATGAGAATCGCAACACACTCGGCTGCAGCATGATATTTTTGTATTACTGGAGGATGAATCGTAGAAATAAGCCAACCCACAACGTAATATGAGCAAGGAAAACAGAGACAGGTGGGACTTCCATTCAAGTATTTGCCGGATCTATAGCTCAAATTTTACAGCAGGTTACAGTAAGGGAAGAAGACTATTCCACCTTGACATTACACTAGAAAGTGGGTCTATTCCAAAGACAAGCACGAACTGCAACGCCGACAAAATTGCCCTTGTTAGACCGGATACAAACAGCAGACTCGCCGTCTTGACCAGAATTGTATCAAAGCTTCACACGAGCAAGACAGCATTGATACATCCATCGTTCTCCGGGTTATTCGTAACCTGTGCGTATTTGCCTGCACAGACAAGAAACATTGGTTTATGGAACATGGCTTAAGGCACAGGGAAGGGCAAAAGGAGCTGAGCTTTTCCACGGATGACTTACCCCAAACAACTTTTCCAGCAGGGGTTACGAGACCAAGTTCACTTACATTCACCTGAGTGAAGATTTATTATTGTAAGTACCAACAGGAAAATAAATCAAAGAACAATGACAAGCATCATTACTGTAAGCATTGATAGGGGGGAAAGTATATTAGCTACAATACTATTGCAGTGGAGATAAGGTTTGCTTTGCATACCTCAATAATTGTTCCCCTCGTCATAACACCAAGAGAAGTGTACATTGGACCATTTGGGTTTTTCTTCACCGAAATTATGTCGAGGTTGAACGTACATTTCAGTTCAGGGTGAGTCACATGAGCCTTGGTGAAACGCAGACCAGTAGGCCGGATGAACCTCTCGTACTTTGGTGGCTTCCTTGTAAATCCAGGGCCAACAAAGGTGGCTTTAGTTACCATTCTCTTCCACTGCTTGGCTGCACAAGGAAAATTTACCAGCTAAATTATTCGGTTCAGTGGAGAAGAAATAGTTATATGTAGTCAGTGCATTGTTCACCGAATGTTAAAAGCAACTTCAGACCAAAAACAGAAGTGAGCAGAATTCAGTTGCAGCACATTCACTTTTAGGAAAGCACTCCGAAGCAAAAAAATGGGCTAGCAACCGCCAAGGAATTACAAACTTATGCAATTCCTGTATATGAAATGCACGACATATGCAGATTACAAACTGTAATCTAGGTTGCCTAATAGATCTCATCATGACTTACTTTTCCGCTTGCCAGTGCGTAGAACTTTGAACATCTCTTCTTCAGCAACAGGTCTGACCTGCAAGAAGATGAAGCGTGGCAATATTTAGCCAAGTGGGAACCCACTGATTTTGAAGCAGGCAAACAACAGCAGTTTGAACTGAGAAATACCTTTGGCAAAGGAACATCCCATTTGCCAGCCTTTTCCTTCCTCTTTTGCTTAATTGTGTTGCTGAGAACCTACAATTGACGATAAATCAGCAACTGGTGCGATAAGAAAGGTCTGTATCACGGCAGGCGGTAGGAACAGGGTACGTATGCACCTTGGCGCGCTGTGTCGGATCACGATCCAGCAGATACGAAGGAATGGCGCCCTCCTCAACATCATCATCAACCTTCTGCCGGGAAGAAGACTCGTCATGCATTTTCAGGCTGCATGAACAACAATTGTGAGTAAGGCCCACACAACCGCAATCACATACGCTGATTCTACATCACGAGGAAAACATCCTTGATGCTGGAGTGTCTCCTATTCGTGTCACTGATCTTCTACCTAAATGGGACGGCGGTTGTTGCCCCCTTCGTCTCTAAAAAAATCTACTACGACTGCGACAGCGAACAATCATCATATCTCCTAGTTCTAGGCAAGTACCAACTGGAGCAGCAGCAAGCAGTCATTCAGAAACATTACACAGAGCACTTACGTCTTCTTCATCTGCGCCTTCTCGGCATACCGCTTCTTGGCGAACCTCTTGCCCTTGGCACCGAGCAACTGCGACAGACAAAACCACACACGCATCAGCAACAGAAACGCGCAGAAACATACTACATGGGATACGAAAGAGGGGTCGCATCGGGCAAGCACCTTGCGGGCATCCTTGGAGTTCTTCTTGACCGCGCGCGCCTCCTTCTTGCGCTTGCGCTCCTCGTAGTCCATGCGCCGGCCATGGCGCTTCTGGTGAAGCTCTATGTAATCTCCCTGAGGCTGCAGGGAAATCGAGCGCGGAGAAAATCAGCGCAAAATTCGAGGCGAGAACATCGTAGAGCAGTCAGAAAGCAAGCGGAGCAGGGGGGGCGAGCTCGGGACGGGACGAATCGGCAGCGGGGCGGACGGCGGAGGGAGGACGGCGGTGGGAGGAAGACGGAGGGGACTTACCATGGCGGCGAACCCTAGGGCTGGTCGGGGTTTGCGGTGGGGAGGCGGCGGAGAGGAAGGAGAAGAGAAGTCGTTTTGGGGGTTTATAGGTATTTATGGGCCTTGGGCTGCACGATCTGTGCCTGGGCAATTTTGACCGTTAGGAGGCTCGCGCATAATATGGGCCGAAAAGGCCTGCTCTGGAAATTAAATATTTTTTGACACTTGCTCAGGTAATTATTAATTGATTACCTCTCAACAAAAAAATTGATTGATCGCGTTTGCCTACTCTCTTCGCTTGAGTTGAAAAGTTGAGACCGTTGACTAAAATGTAATTTAACATGGGCAGTTAACAGGGTTTCCTCAAAAAAGATAGTTAGCAGGGTTGTTGTATCCCTAGCCCCGTCAGGGATCAAATACTAGGTATGTTTCCGTTGACAACAAGGTGTGTTTGTGGTTACTTGATCAATCTTCTTCGTAATCCAACCTTCGGTAGATGATGTATGAGTACATTCATGTGGTTCGCATGTCTATGTTGTATACTTAGTATTTCTATAAGAGAATATGGTATGTCTTTGGACATGTTAATGTAAGAGTGTTCACTCCAGTTTTTTCTCTCTTATTTTTTGCAAAAAAAAATATTGGACAACTCATAGGCAAATAAAATCTTGACTGAAATTTAGGCTAGACAGATTTTTGGTAGGGCAAACTTGGGCACTAGTACCAAACATACCATGAGGGTATACATGATAAACCTTCGTCCTAGAGACGATTGTAAGAATTTCAAAGAATGTTTCAAGAGTTCTGCACCATCTCTTGTCAGTTGTACATTATGTACATAGCAGATGATAAAATCTGTTTCGGGTCATCTCAAAAGGCACAAGGGACACATGCGTTTGATTTGGAGGCCAAATACAAACATCTCACATCAAATGAGGCAAGTCAGAATCTGAATGAACGAACATATATTCTGGCGATGCGATTTCTCCACAAAAGAAAGGTCAAGCTCTTGATTTACACCGCTATGTGAAACCACAGTAACCGAAAGAAGAAAACTGCTGATTATACAGGATAAGAATTGTACGGCCTACAGAACAGCAAATTGCATGGAGATAAAAATTCCACACGAAGCTACCTAGTGACATGGCTTCCTTTCCCTATCCCTAGCTCTTTGGCGAGGTCCCGCGTGAGGGTGATGGCATGCGTGTTATGCCATGGGAAAAGGGTGCGGGTAACCGGAAGTTTCCTCCGAAGATCCTGTGCACGAGACAAAACATGGAGTGAAACAGGGGACATGAAAAGATAAGTGCAGTAATCCGAGCGTTGCGACTATCCTGTTTAATGCCAGATTGTTTACTGATGCCTCGGCGTACCTTGAACGTTGCGTCGGAGAGATTCAAGTATGATTCCTGTGTGCAGAAATGTGTAAATAGCATTATTCACTGTGTTAGCATCTTGGGAGATTAAGTAGAGAACAGAAAGGTTCCAACCTCGAGAGATGAAAAATACTCGGACTCGTGATGCCGAATGATGTTAGCAACTGTGTGTGCAGTGTCTTCAGGTGACTGAAACATAAGTAATATAACATCAGAGGCATGTTTAAAATTTTAAACCTGGCGTTGATATAATAAAATGGACAAAGAAAGCAAATAGGGATATTGAAGGTGGCACCATGACTAAATATCCAAAAAGCATACTCAAGGCAGCACAACAAATTTAGATCAGATGGCACATCAATGGGTGAATGACACAAAGATACTACTACCTCCGTTCCAAAATAATTGAAGTTCTGGATTTGCCCAAAGTCAAAATTGTTTAATTTTTTGACCCAGTCTATACAAAAATATATTAACACTTAGAACACCAAATTAGTCTCTTAAAATTCTTTAAGACATATATTTTCGTATTATGTGTATTTGCTGTTGTAGATCTCTGCACATTTTTCAATAGAGGTAGTCAAACTTAAGCAAGTTTGACTTAGGAAAAAACTAGAACTTCAATTATTTTGGGACAGAGGGAGTACACATAAAGAAAAGGACAGACCCAGTGCATAGAAGCTCCCACACAAGGCGGGGTCTGGGGAGGGATAATTGGAACCTAGTCTTACCCCTGCAAAGTGCAATGCAGAGAGGCTGGTTCGAACCCAGGACCTCTTGGCACAAGTGGGAGGACTTCACAGCCAGGCCTGCCCTCTTGAAATGTGAATAGTGCAGCACACAAACTCCACAGCCAGATACAAAAGAAAATAACTAGGAAGGAAAAGAGTAACTATGCCCCACCCACGCTTTCTCTCTTACATGCTAGTCATGAGGTGAACTTGCAACTGTCATTTCTATCTACACAATCCAGCAAAGTAAAATCTGGGAGAGGAAATATGCCATAGGTTCATCATTTCCCAGAAAAAAGTTTGCATAAAGCTTAGGTTTGTGTTGGAGCAGTTTGCACCAATATAGTGACTTGGTAAAGTGAAGATAATATTTCTAAGTTTCTTGGATACAAATAAATGAACACATACCGACTTGCATGTGCAGGAGTTTTCGAGAAAACAATATTATCGAAGAATGGAATAAAGTTTACCTAAAATTTATAATGGCTGCACTGTGGGTCCAACTATACAAGCAAAGAATACTAAAGCAGTGATACAACAACCAAAATAGAGCTTCAGAGCCTGAGAAGAGACTTAATGGTAGGCCATGTTTAAGGTGATAAAACACCAAGTTCTGCAAAACAAATCCAAAATTCGAACATTGAGGGTGCCTAGAGGGCCAAGGTCGTAGTTTCGAGCCAAAATATGCTGCAGAGCTTTAGGCCTCTTCTTATGCATCAGAGGTTTTTAAAACGAAAGGGGAGGTCAAGGACCATGTTAGTCTTACAAATTTCCGCCCACACAAGCAACATATGTCCACTATGAGGTCAAAAAAAAAAAAGAGAAAAGTATACTTTTCATCCTTTAATTTTTGGCGAAGTTTAAATTTGGTCCCTCAACTATGAAACCGGACAACTTGCACCCCAAACTCTTGAAACCGGACAAGTATTGTCCCTCAAGCGGTATCTATGCTGACTCAACGTGGTTTTGACCGGTCCAGAGTAGGGCTGCAAGAAAAGCTCGAGGCTCGTGAGCCGCTCGAGATCAACTCATTTTTTGACTCGACTCGAAATCGACTAGAAAAGAAACGAGCTGAGTTTGAACACTTTATGTAGCTCGACCAAGAAACGAGCCGATCTTGAGCCAATATTGGCTCGCTCGATTTTAGCTCGATAGCTCGACGGAATATCATTATGTTACATGATCATGCCATATATTAAATGGAAATAAGATAATTTATTACCATATATGTTGTCTATAATTTTTGTCCATTTTATTTATCGACGAACATGGAAACTTAATTAAGTGCAGAGAAAAATTCGGCCTAATTATGGCACGTGGTTCACTATGTGTTAAATATCCTATATTTTTGGCAAAGGTTCCTAGCATATTTATCTCTTTTTTTCATCCATAGATTTATAATTTTTACCATCTCATTTTGCTCGAAACTAGCTCGAGATCAACTCGAGATCGTTACAAGCTGAGCACGAGGCATGTTCTACAACTCAATCATGAGCTTCACTTAGTTTGAGCTCGCTCGAATTTTCATATGAGTTGAGCTGAGCCAACTCCAACTCGCTCGAGCTCTACTCGTTTGCAGCCCTAGTCCAGAGTGACATGTGGCCAAGCTTTTACGGACAAAAAAAGAAAGAAAAAGAAAACACACACGCAACGGTCATGTTAACTCCATCGAGACAAAATATCGAACAGGTGTTGTGCGTGCCGCTCGCATGGTCCATACTGCTCTCCTGGCCATCACCCATCAAGATCTCCCGGCGATCAACCATCTGCACGCATCGGCGCTGCCTGTATGACCGAGGACGGTTCGGCATGGCGAGCTTGACCAAGGCACGGAGGCGGTGGCGACAGCCAGCAGGGCCAACGATGTCTCTGCACGGCGAGCTTGGCCAACGCGCAGATGGTGTGTCGACGAGCAACTTGGTAGGAGCACGGGGCAGACGACGGTGGTGCAGCAGCTCGTAGCGGTGCTGGCAGCCGACGGACGGTGGCCGGCAAAGCCGAGGCGCGACCGTGCACGCATGCATGGCCATCAGGAGCTCGCAGACAACGGCCATGGGAGCGGGCCAGTCGTTGAGGCTGCCTTGTTCGAGGAGCTCGCAGACCAGGACGCAGTTGGGTCCGGCGACGTAGTTGCCGAGCAGGGGCAAGATTCGCCGTAGGCTGGGTTCCCAACGCAGAGACGGTGCGGATCGCCGCCGCGCTGTCTGGGCTTTTCGATCCCGACGGCATGTTCCCCAACTGCATGCCCAACCCGGAGGACGCCCTCGAGCTCTGCTGTCGCTGCCACTCTGCTCGCCGCGGCAGCGGCCACAATCCACTCGGGCATGGCTGTAGGCTGAAGCGATTGCGAGAGCTGACTCAGCTGAGGGAAGGAGCGCCTGGAGCGGGCAAGTGGTGTTGAGCGCGTCGTCGGCCACCGCCATGAGCTCCCGCGCCAGCGACACGCCGACATTGCGGAGCGGCCTTACAGGTGTCGCCAGGACCAGAGACACCTCGCCGGAGGCTTCCACGCCCACGTCCTTCTCGTGCCGCTGCGACTGCACGCACGCCCACTGTTCGTCAAAATGCCCAGCTGAGTTAGAAGAACGAAGGAAGGAGATCCACCAGGGATAGCCACGTGGACGTAGACCCGGTCAAAACCATGCCACATCATCATGAAACCACTTGCAATCGGGAGAGCGACTTAAATTGTCCGGTTTTGAGAGTTAGGGGTGCAAATTGTCCGGTTTCGTAGTTGGAGGACTAAATTTAGACTTTGTCAAGAGTTTAGGGACGAAAAGTATACTTTTCTCAAAAAAAAATCACTACAATATGTAGGGCTCAAAATTATTCCATTCACTAACCTGCATTATTGTGGAGTCCTTGCGATCAACATCAGTATCCAGCTGCACATTTCCCTCTTCAAAATAATGAGCATCTACCTGGTGACCATACAAGTAATCTTTAAAATACAGAAGTTACTAATTTTACTTGCAGTGACATTATTTAACCATGATTTTAGCTTCAGCTAAGTAAAACAGCTAACCTGTATCTTTCCTTTAATTTCTACAAGTTGAAACGCATAACTGAATTCCAAAGTCCAAATGGAACGCCAGCTGCCATTGCTGGATGACACAATATTAAGTTGCCTCCATCAGACAGACACTAAATGATACGAAGATCAAACCTATAAGGAACATACTTCAAGTGTTCTAGTGACGTATTCTGTGAAACAAATGTTCAGATATAGCACAAGCACTAAATCTTTAAGTAAGAAAGTACAATTAAACATATAATAATGTATTATAAGCAGGTGATAAACAGCATAGCCACACACCAAATGATTAGTTACTAGTGGGAGGCAAGAAACAAGAGAGTGGTAAATATACAATCAAAAGTTGCATACTGAAAGAGAAATATAAGGATACAAAGATAAAAACTAAAGCCTCTAGAGACACTATAAAGAGGAGGAACTGAAAACAGGCATTATAATCCAAACTAAAGTCACTGATCTATAGGTGCATAAACAAGGTAATTTCCTTATAATAACAGCAAGGTAACAAAAAAGTCAGAAAAGAGAACATACCAAAAGTTCCGTGGGCTTCGTCTAGCAGCAGAAATAACTACTGCCAAACCAAAATCAGCTCCTGGTTCCTCTAGATCCTTTCCATTGGTACAATAAACGGCAGAAACACCTTTTGGATAAGCTTCACCAACATATTTGGACACTTCATAATCTATAGCACTCCTGTCTCAAGTAAATAAGTATGGTTTATTCACTGACTATGTAATATGGGCAATGAAAAGTAGCAGAGATAACATACCTAAATTCTTCAATATATCCTGACGGAAGCTCCTCATCTGTAGCAGGCCTCAATTTTGTACAAGTCTAAACATAAACACGAAACAAAATGAATTAACTTAAGGTAAGAATTCTCATATTTAATGACAATAAGAAAGGAGAATGAAATCCCATATCCAAATTTGTGGAGGCGGGTAATATTAGCCTGCAAAGCATAGTTCTGCTGGTAGTGGTGTTTGATGTAAGGGTTAATAGATAAAGGCCACTGCAATTTTGAAATATATTGGAGAAGTCATTTTTCATGTTTCTGCTTTTTTGAGCTATTTCAAGTATCATAAGAAACCCATTCAATTCAAGTCCAGCAAATCCATTTGGTTTGAAACATATGATTATTTCAGTATCATTGCCCAGATCAATTCCTCAGTAAAAATATAAACCAGCAACAGAGAGAGTGGATTATTTACATGCAGAGCTTGGCTCAGAGCTAAAGTATGTTGAGTTATACACTATATTACATCCATGTGACATGTTCAACATGAAATAAGTGGTTTCGCAACAGCGTAAATTGCAAACTGAGTGAACACTGCTAAACCATAAATGAACCTGGGCCATTCGTCAAAACTCAAAAGTATAAGAATGGTAAGACCATTAAGGTCAAGATGCAAGCCATGCTTACTGCAGATACGCAATTGCTAAATACACTACTCTCTAAGATGAGTGATTATTTGTACAGTGGTTTGCTGTACATTTTCTGGCGTGTTAAAATATTGTAAGAATAGGCATAATAAAGCTAAATTGTCGTGAGCGGTATCAAGCACATTATTCAATGATACCTGCTTAACATGGTCCACGGTAGCAATTTGTGCGGTCCTAGGGTCCAGATAGTTGTTCCTGTCAATCTCCCCATAAGTTGTGATGATTATCTGCAGGTATGTATCACACAATTAAAATTGAACATTCGGCCGACAGGGACACTTCAAGCATTATACTCCCTTCATGGAAGGGAAATTGACACAAAAAGAACAGTGGCCCATCCAGCGGAAATGCTCCTACTATAATTATCATGTGGTCAGAGAGAGAAACTACCCCAAATGTTCCTATCCTCAACTCGGCCTACAGTACAGTACAGTTGTTCAGTTCCACAAGCCTAGCAAATTAAAAATAAATCCGAAAGATAGCCTGAGAGCCAGATTCGTGGAGTCTTAGCCGCTGGTTTAAGAACTATGGCACACACAAGTTATCACTTCCAAAGTAATTCGGCACTGTACGACAGCTCTGAAGGGAGAGAGAGAGAGAGAGATGCTCACATCGCCGCTGCGGTCTGGGAGCTCGAGGGAGACGAGGTGCGTCTTGTTGTACTCCGGGTAGGCCTCGGCGGCCGCGGCCTCGTACGCGGCGTCGTCCCCCAGCAACGCCCGCACATCTGCGCGCATTCGAACAGGCGAGGAGTCAAACAGACGGCACGGGCGAAACACACACACGGCTCGCCGGAATTACGGGCGCGTAACTGGGGATCGAATGGAGGGAGGCGGGCGGGGGGTTACCCTTGGCGACGTAGTGGATCTCGCCGGTGGGGGCGTTGGCGAGGAACCAGACGGCGATCTCCCGCTTCTGGTCGCCGCTGAGCGGCTCGCCGGCGCCGCCGTCGTCCGACATTTGGCGGGCGCGGGCGGGGAGCGGCGGTAGGTGGG